AGAACGCACAGTCCCTACATCCTCAGTACTGCTCAGAGGGCCTCCTTCCAAAGATCCAATGCCCTAAAACTGGGCAGGGGTGAACCTCAACTCTGACACAGAAGCCAGTTGAGCAAAATGGCAGGGTGGGGGCTGAGGCCAGAACACCCCATGCAGAAACCCCTGCGCTGAGCCCCTCGGGACCAGGACAGCCCAGCAGGCTGAGGCGGGAGGCAGAGGCGTGAGGCACAGGGAAGCTCTGAGTGGCAAGGGGGCGCCTGGGCTCTACTCCTGGATGGAAAATGGCACTGGAGAACAGGTTTGGCAGGATGGAGGGAGCTGGATCAGGAGACTAAGGATTTCAGTGGCAGAAGGCCACAGAAGGGCGAGTGACCACAAGAGAGGGGGTGACATCAGCAGAGAAGTCAGCCTTTACTACAGAAAGAGCAAGAGATCCAGATGCAGGGGTACACGCCTATAATCCCAGAACTCAGGAGGCTGAGGCACGAGGATCGCTGTAAATTTGAGGCCAGCTTGGGCTATAGTTAGTTGAAGACCAGCCTGAATTACATAGCGAGACCCTGTTTCCAAAAACAAACAGAACTGGGGCAGGGCACTGCACCTCTCCCAGGGCTCAAAGCCATCTATGCCCTCTGCGTCCAGCAGGGGTAGCTCTGTAGCCCGATCCTTTATTACCTCAGGGCCGGCCCTTTCCTTACCCTGTCTCACACAGGGGGTGCTCCATGAAGCGCCATGGCTAGGCTGATTTTAGAAACCCTCCTTTTTCCAGACCAAGAGCAAACCTTCGCACCAGGCGGGGTCCCAGACAGCAACGCAGGGATGATCCAGCAGGTGGCAGCAGAGAACAGACTTTCCCTGTACAGGACCCCAAGGAGGGTGGAGGCGCCGAGTGCGCGGATCCCGCAGCTGCCACAGTCCCGGCCAGAGCGAGAGGCACGCTGGGACCTCTGGCTCCGTTCACAGAGGCCTTCTCCTGGCTACAGCATCCTCGCACCCCGCAGGACCTTCTCATTCCTGGCGTGGTTGGCACTCGTCCCTTGCACCTTCGCAGTCTGTGCACAGCTAGCCTCCATTCTGTTTGCCGCTTCTGGCGGCGCTTTTCTCCTTACTTCCCACTCCAGTTTGTTGTTTCCTGATAGGAGACCCGAATCCAGGGCCCGGTGCATGCTAGCCACACACTCTACCCCTGGGCCTCGGCCCTGCTGTTTTCATTTTATTTATTTATTTTATTTGGAGACAGGGTCTCCATCAGCATCGGCTGGCTGGCCTTGAACTTGTACTCCTCCTGCCTCCCCAATGGCTGCGGTTTTCAGCAGTCTCTTCTGTTTCATTTTTAGGGGGCCAGGACCTCCTGGCAAGCACAGGGTGTCTGTGTTACAATGTGCCCCCATCGCTGTGGGCTCTGCATCGGGGTTTTCCGGATTTAGGGTCCTTCCCGGCTGCTTGGTAAGATGGGGGTGTGATGTCAGAGGACGTGGGATCAGACCCAAAGGGCTGCTGGAAGCTCTGGGTCCAGCCTCTTGCTGGTGTCCGAGAGTAGGGCCTCAGAAGCAGAGAGGACTGGCCGGCCACCCGAGGGCCAGGCACCACAGGGAAGTGCAGAAAGACTAAGCCTGGTGGTGGCAGGGGGGTGTGCCTTTCCCACCTGAGGTTCAATTCTTTTGAAAAACTCAGCATCTATCTTTAGTTCTGGGACCACTGTGAGGTCTCCAGGAAAGGAGAGTGGGGGGTCTGCCTAGAATAATCCAAAGTGTGTGTGTGTGGAGGGTGTCTGCAGGGGGACTCCAGAGTCCTAACTCAGGATCTAGAACCCACAAGAAGCTGAGCTGAGAGTGCTGGGCTAGGTGGCCCATAAATCTCCCTCCGGCAGAAGGACAGGCACCATATACAGATTCCTACAACGCTGCAAATCTCTCAAATTCTTAAACAGCTGAGTAAGCTGTGTTTCCTTTTCGTTTTGACTGTGAATATTTATTTCCATCTCTCTCTTTTTTGAAACCAATAGGTTTCATGTTTGAAATAATATTTAAAATTAGTGGGTGGGGTGTCCAAGGCCACAGAGCAAAGGCCTGGCCCTCACTCTGCCCGGAGTCTAAAAGCAAAAGCAGAAGCGGCAGCAGATCGGGCCAGTGGGGCTCGCCTGGGGTGCACTCCTGTCACAAGCAGAACCTAGTGCTGGGTGTCACTCACCTTTCATGTCCTTGGGTCCAGGGCAAGAATTCACGCTGGGGACTTCAAGTATAGAGGTGCTGGTCACAAGGGGCCTGCATCATGGGGTCATCTACCTGGATTTGGTCTCTGCCTGCCTAAGTCATCCTGAACCTTTCTGTTAAACTACAAAGGAGCTTCTCTACCCCGTCCTTTCGGTTCAGGGAAATAGATTTTGGCTGTGTTGGCCCAGGAAGAAAGATGGAAAGAAAGGAATTGCAAGGATTACAGACAACAGTGAAAAAACGGCAAGAAGAAACCTCAGCGAAGGCGCTAATCCCCCCCCCCCCCCCCGCAAAACGCGGCCACATTTTTTCCCCATAATTTTGATAAACAAATAGCAATGAGACAGTTTCAAATCAAGTTGGTAGGACAGTTTCAATAATTAACACATTGCATACATTCTTCCTAGCGCTTAATTGCTGTACAAGACGCGGCCACATTTAAGGCCCGGTGATGTAGCCAGAGTTCTCAGTATTTGGGTTTAATCGCCCTGCACTGCGCCCAGGCCTGACGCCCTGCTCCGTAGATCTGGGCCAGCTCATTTCGCCACCGCCCGGACAGCTCGGAAAGCAAAGATTAAAGGGAAAAGTCGCAGCTGTATATTTATATTTTCATTGCTAGAAGGGAATTGATTTCCGTGCGTTTATTTTGGTAGTTGTAATACACAAGAGCGGATTTGCGTCACCCGAGCAACTTGCCGGTGGAGATAAAGTTGCACAAATATTAAAAGGGGAAGTGCTAGGAGTCATTATAGAGTTTTTCTCCGGAAGAAATAAGGATTTCTGCAGTAGCCTAAAATACTAAGGCCGCTTCTATTTTGAGCCCAATCTTGCAGGCACATCCGTTCATTTAGTCCGAGTCTGAGCCCGTCAGAAAACAGGAGATGACCTGAACTCCCGCGAGCCCCCCGGGCTTCCTGCAGCCTCCTCGGGCCGAGGGCCGGGAGTGGGCCCGGGACCCGCGCGCTCAGAGCCGGTTAGCGCTCGCCACGGCCCGGCCGGGCTGGGCGGGCGCGGGAGCCGAGCAGGCCCTGGCCG